GACAGTTGTTGCTCCACCATTGCAACACTGTTAAGAGCCCCACTTCCACACAGTCCCAAGGCGCAAGGTATTCCAGTATTATTCTTAAATAAACTGCTTTTCAGTGTCACTTAAACCCCTCATAATGTAGAGCTTATGCCAGCACGTGCAAAATACCTGCAGTAAGAGTTATGCTAAATAGACCTGTTGCAGTTAAATTTAAGCTACAGAGATGTACAAGTAAATTGTTTTTAGGAATGTACTGCAAAAGTATTTGAACAAAATTGCTAACATGTTTACTGTTGTAAATATTTTAATAAAAAAGGACACGTCAAACTTTTTTACACAATTATCTACAATAAAGAGAAATTTACAATCATTTACAAAATGTTCTTAATTCTTTCTTTACTGTCAAGACAGCTACAGTAAGAACAAAATAAACATTAGATAGATGAAGTCCGGGTTTTATTTCACTCTGTATTTATAAAAAGAACAAAGCATTTTGGTGAAGTTCCATCCACATGCTACTGAGATCAAATAGAGCATGATGAGAAGTGCAAAGGGATACAAAAGAATAGCTGTGTTCTTCAAGAAGGGCAATGCTGAAACAGAAGCAACAAGGAAGCAAGTATGAAGCAGTGCTCCTTCAAAAAAGGTGCTTCATGGAGAACAGCCTTGGGGAAAGACAGCAAAAAGCAGCAGTACCACTCTGCCAGCCTTGTTACCAGGGCAGGGTTGTCATCTCTGCCTTCCTGGTCCTACCACTATCACAGATGAAAGAATACTTGAGGTATTAGTATAGGTAATGCCCCGGGAAACTGTTTTACCTAAAACTATAGTCTTAAATTCACCACAATTTTTATCCAATGCAAACATTTTGAAGGGGATTTGCAGAGGAACAAGAAAAACAAGTTGTGGTGCTACAGGTCTATTAAAAGAAAGGAAGCTGGCATGGTGAAGAATATAAATTCTTTCGTTAAGACGTCCCCCCAGCTGGAGACAGGGATTGGTAAAGTACTGTCAAACTTCTTTTACCACTAAGAAAGAATTACTTCCACACCCAGCTGAGCCTACACTTCACAAATTAATAGACTAAGGTCAAATTAATAGACTAAAGTCATGCTCTTGTTTTTAGTCAAACAAATAAGAAAGAAGTTGGCCTTACTCACCGCTGTATCCCAGGAATGTCACATAGATGTAATAGCCGATTGCAATCAGCCATAATGTGTTCCCAACAAAATACCCAATGACAGAATCGGATATGATGACATCTGAAAGAGACAACTGCTCTCAGATGTTTGGCTAGAGCATGATTTTGAAGCAGAGAGCACAAAACACGTTACTTACAGTTGATGAAGAACAGCTGGATGAAATGCAAAATGACCAGAAGTGGGTAGAAGGCATTCAGGTGAACATCAAAGGCATATCCCCACTCCACATCATAGTCTCTGTTCTGCTGCTTCACCAAGTACTTATTAGAAATGAACCTACATGAAAAGATGTTTGAGATGATTGTTGTTAATATGAATCTGCAAAGTTGACTGGCAAAATGTTTGTTTGAGGTAGTGCACCGTGTGCAATCCTAACTCTGTTGTATCCCGACAAAGTACAGAAGGAAAATGGGAGACAAATATGCAAGAATTATGCAGACCAGGCTACTGTTAAAACATTTTTGTTAAAACTATAATTACATTCTTTGCATTCGCTGGGCAGCTGAATACACTGCTGGTAATACAGCACCAGGACTTCTAAATAGATTGGTGCCACCATTTATCAATGTAGTCCCAAGCTCTCAGGCAGCATGCCATGCCACCCTTGTGTGTGCGCAGAGGTGACATCAGAAAAGTGCTCGTACGCGGTGAGTACACCTCACACGCAGACGGTCGGTTTCGGCACACTCCAAGGGCAGAAAGCAGGCAGGCGAGCTCTCTGAAGAGAAGCCCGTTCTCCTCACTGAACAGAAGCGCTAGCAGAATGCGCACCACCTGGTGCTTCAGGCTATGGAACAAGCCTCCAGACTTTGCTTTCTTCAGCTGAAGTTCTGCTGACATCAGAAAATGCATCCCATTTAGAAGAGGAACAAGAAGTCAATCGGTGCTCAGAAATAAGAAGAGATCAGAGCTTTCAGGGTAGCTTCCTCTGAGATGTTCTCTGTGCCAAGGGCAGGGTCAGAAAGAGGCAGAGCCTGGGTGCAAGGTGAAGTGAGCCAAGAAGGGGTTTAGACTCATGAAGAAAGAGGGAAGCTTTTGGAGAAAAGGTGAGCCTGCAGTGGAAGCAGGGACTTGACCCAAACTGGAGACTGGTAGCTAGGCCTGCAGGAAGCCGACCAAAGGACAGAGCAAAACCTGCAGATGCTGAAGTCCTTCTGGTTCAGGAGACTGCACCCAGAGTCACAAACTGCTGGAGGATGGGGTGGAGGGATTACTAGATGCTCTTCCCCAAGCAATTTATGGGTTGCTGTCCCAGACAGGTGAGTGGGTCAGATGGACCTTTCATCTATCGTGCCCTCCCCTCGCCACAGTGCTGAAACAGTGACTTCTGTTGGTTCGCGGTTCCCTAGCTGGGGCAGGACACATCTACAACACGCTGAGGCCTGGGCTACAAACTGACTCACTACCGCCTCGCCTCTCCTCCAAGTCTCCGGCCATTACAGGGTAAGGCTGGCAGTGACTCCCACCACAGCGGCAAATCCAACATGTGTGAAATAGGATAGGCATTGCTTGCAGTGAAAATCGCTAAAATCTCCAGCAAGTAGTACAGGCCAACTGCAGATTGCCCTACTTAAACATTATCACCCTCAGGCTTACATAAGCTGTTCAACCAAACTAAGGAACGCAGAATTTTTTTGTTTTTGATCACCAAATTTTTTATCTGGCATTATTGCTGAAGATTAGCCAGCTCAAGAAGAAAGAAAACAAGCCAAAACGTTCATCACAATACACACTTTGTGAATGTTCATCTTTTGCAGGAAACAGTAACGAAAAAGGTGTGTTCTTTTTTTAAAGCAACGTTTTGAAACAGTTACCACAACAGCACAAAACCTACAGTCAATACATACTTTATATTTGCCCCAAGCAGAGAACCAGGTGGCTTGCGAACAGCAGAGGAATTCCTGTGTGCCAACAGCAATACTGAGCTCAGTTTCGGACATCGCTACCTACCACATCAGAGTTGCAATCAGGAGGCCAACGCCTACGCAGTCTATGAAAACAACCCAAAGCAGCAGCTTTATTGTTTCAAAAAATCCCATGTCCAGCACAAATCCAAATCCTACAGTAGACACTGAAAGGAGAAAAAGATTATTAAAGGTCGCTGTGGAAAAGAAAGCATGAGATCTTAAATCGACTTTTTTTTTATTATACTGTCACGAAATCTCCAGTTTCCTTATTATTTTTCTCTCTGAGATTTTTCAGTCCAACAGCTTAATTTTTCCACTAAATAGTATAGTGCAAGTTACTCATAATATAACCCCTTTCACAGATGAAAGAACACTCCTCTGTACTCGGCCTTAACAATGTAACAGCAAGTTGTATTTCTGCCCCCCCCCCCCACTACTGTTAAAAAATTCACACACTACTACAGTAGGGCATTCTTTGTTTTATAAAATCTCCTTGTTAACCCAAACTATGCCTGTGGCAACACATACTTCTGTTCCAGAGTTAATAGTTTTGACACTACTGTCAGCAAGGTGCTACATAGCAGAAGACAACTAGGATAATGCTTCTTGTCATGTTTTCAATTCAATCTAAAAACTGCACGAGACACTAAAAACTGATACAGCAAATGTTTGGTATTTTTTAACTCAAGCATTGCCGCTGTGCAGCACGGGTTCTTGTTACTGTCTGTAAAGTTACAGGGAACTACACAGCTTGAAACACAACCGAAAATGAGCTGCGGTACAGAGATTAATTCAGGACTACATAATATTAGTCGTGCCTCCTCTGTTTTCCAACTCCCACCTCAACTTCCAAAAAGGCAAGGCCGTTTTCTTCTATTCTGCTTTGACTAAAAGAGCATCCCTGTGGCTTGGTCCTTTTCGTGTGTGGGGGATTAGAATGGCCACGGGCGCCCATCCCCAGAGCTGCCCTCCCGCTGCCCGTCCCGCCGCGCTCACCGCAGAGCCAGACGCTGAGCAGCACCAGGAAAGCGGGGTCGTCCCTGGCCCACTGGTCCTTCGTCTGCTTCCTGTAGTGGAAGTTCCTGTAGACTCTCTGCGGCGAAGCGAACAGGTAGAGCATCTGCCACAGCGCGAACTCGAAGTCCATCTGGCGCAGGTGGAGCAGCCGGCGCAGGTACTTGTAGC